CTATCCATCGACCTACCCACCCACCCAACCACCCATCCATCTACCCACCCACCCATCCATCCATCGATCTAAAATCCACCAACCCACCTATCCACGCACCCACTTACTCACCCATCTACTCATACCCTCGCTCACCTACCCACCCACCTGTCCATCAACCTACCCACACACCCACTACTCACCCCCTCGCCCATCCACACGTCCATCTTCCTTTCCACCTACCCGCCTACCCACCTACACACCTACACACACACTTACTCACCCGTCTACCCATACCTCGCCCACCTACCCAAACACCCATCCATCCTTCTACCACTCACCTACTTACTCACCCGTTTATTCCTCCACTCGCCCATCTACCCACACACCCATCCATCCACTTACTCGCCTACCCATGTACCCACTCATCCACCCACTCACCTATCTACTCTTTCCCTCGATCATCTACCCACCCACCCATCTACCTTCCCACTCACCCATTTACACTCCTATCTACTCATCTACTCACTCATACACCCTCACATCCATCCATCCATCTACCTACCCACCCATCCACCTACCTTCATACCCACTTTCTCTCCCATCCACTTATCCAGTCGCCCATCTACCCACCCACCCATCCATCCATCTACCCGCCTACCCGCCTACCCACCTAGCCACCTACCCGCACACCCACTCATTCACCCACCAGCTCACCCACCAGCTCACCCACCCGTCCATCCACCTACCCACCTACCCACCCACCCACCCACTCATTCACGCATCTATTCACCAACTCATTCGTACATCTACCCACCCACCAGGGACCCACGTGCGGTGATCCTGTCCCAGATGTTGCGCCTACGCAACCGTGGTAACCTGACTTTGGAACAGAGCCTCGACATCTTCTGCCCACGTCTGCAGGAAGACGTCCAGGCAGCACGCGAACTTCTCTCACGTTTCCCGAAAAGATTCAAGATCGTTCGCTACGAAACTGGTGTCATGTCGCCAGACCACTTCGCAAAAGAGCTTCTTGACTTTGCAGACTTGTCCTTTACTGAAGAGGTCGAAACCCGAGTCCGGGCTTTAAACGGCAACTCTAGTGGATTCAGTCTAATGGGCGGTCCAGTTGCAAGAGGCGGCCCTATAAAGGAAATGAACAAGTGGCGATATAAGAACGGGCGCCCTACAGTGGAAAGAATAGACAAAAGTTGTGGGGATGTATACGGCGCCTTTGGATACAAACCCCTTCTCCCCACAATGGACCTCAGTTCACAAGAATCTTTACTGTCGGACTCTGGGGCGGGTACATTGTTTGATTCCGAAAGTTTTACGTAACCTTAATGAAAGATTTTAGACTTTATCCCATCAGAAGTCAATGTATTTCGATCATAATATATTTTTCAATATTAATCGTTGTAGTCATAAGAAGAACAAATGCCAGATAACAAGCCCAAACGTCACATAGAACATTCAAAGCCACATAGAACGTTCAAAAATCTAATACGACATTTTTGTCACGTTTAAATGTAAAGATAACAAATGATGTAATAGAAACTTCAAATGCCACATAACGAATGCGATTACTCTCCGAACAGATTACCCAGCGTGAGCAGAATGTGCTCAAATTGAGCTGAGGGACAATGTCCTTCAGGGCAAATTGATCACCAAGAAGAAACTTGAGGATGTTACCGCAGAAAGACTTTCTGATGGGACTAAAGCTACCAGACATCAATAATATGCATCCTGACTGTTGCACAATATTTTATTCAGGATTAGAATAATTCTGTCTTCATCAATGAGGCTGGGATTAACATGTTGACAAGGATAACCAAAATATGCGCAATCCGTTGTCAACGCACTGTTCGAGTGACGCAGGATCAAAGGGGATCAAATCTCACAATGACATTAAGTGCTGTCAGAGCTGAGAGTGACCTGGTCTACCACAACTTTTAAGAAAGGGGTAGGGGAAGGGGTTGTGTGACAGCTAAGCGTTTCAACCGATTCCTCCAAGGTGTTGCAACCCGTTCCAACAACCCCCACAGGGAATTATAGGGGGCCCTCGTGGCCTAGAAGTTAAGGTGTTCACCTCTCACGCAATAGGTCCCGGGTTCGAATTCATAAAGCAATGGAAATTTTTCTTCTCTAAAATGTTTTCCTTCC